CAGCGCAGTTGGGTATTTGGGACAGCCGAGGGGACTTGACCCCAGCTCCGCAACACTTTCCTATCGAAGTTTATATGGCATGGTACCGCACTGTTTCCCGACTTTTTATCGGGAACCCAGTTCATCAGGTAGATGGTCGGTACGTCTCATACGCCGGGAGACATGAGGCTCTGGTATGTTTTCTGTTATTATCAATTACATTAATAGTAATTTCGAGTCAAATACGTAGTTTATATTAAAAACTTTTGTGCAGGCGATTGGATTGCATACCGTATGGGGCAGCAGATGCAGAGTTATGTCCATGATCCTGTGATCATGCAGGACTATAGTCGTCGCTTCATGGATGTGGCTGCCCAGACACTGCAGCGAGGCCGATCGGATCAGTGTTTGGCACACCAGCCAGATTATATTGACCCAGCCACGTACCAGCGAGGTCGTGGTATGCCACGAGGTGGTTTCTGACGAGCTGCTGCTGCTCCCCGACAACCTGATGGTGCCAGACGACGTGGTCGTGGGCGGAGAGGAGGTCCCCAGCAAGGGGGGTTTGAGGCTCCTACTGATGATGTTGCTGCTGATATGGGAGGTGGCATGCATGAGACCGACATGCCATCTTACAGCCTTGGCATTTATGACACTTCAGGGACGTCGCAGGTGACCCCATCGGGTCAATTCTTGATCATGGGCTCGGATTTTCAAGGAGTGGAGTTGGGTAGATATTTCCCTGGCCCGTCTACCACTGATGAGTCTCGACCGATCCGAGATTTTGATAGTGGGCACCGACTGAGTTATGGCAGCTCATCACATGCGCAGGTATGAGTTTATTAGTATTAATTTTATTACTGTTTTTACTATAACTTATTTATTTTCTTTTAACTTTATTAATTTACTTTTTTAGGCTTCATGCGATGCTGCGACAGATGACTACATTCAGGATCCAGACACGATTATGGTAAGACAATATAAATTTTTGTGAATTGTTATGTAGTTTTCTATACTAAGTTTGATATTATTATGTAGCCTTCTACTGGACCTGACAGCACCACCGATACATGTCATCCTGTGCCGCATCCGGCCATAAGGAGACGACTTGATGATGATGATCCTGATAGCGTACCCGGGCGGCAGGGGATGCGCCTCAGGCCAACGGCTACTTTGAGACACACCGGATGCGGGACACATTGATTCGGTCTTCCATTTTTATGTTTTTTTGGTGTAAATAATATTTTTGTATACATTAACAACAATATTTAATCGAATATGACAGTTACTTTTTTTTAGTTCTCATTTCGTTTTATAGTATTTGGTATAGTAACACAACAACTTAAACTTAACTTCCACTTAAATTAAAACAAAATTTAGTACAACAAACAAGGAAAACATTACTACAACACAAACACAAACATAACAAGCCAACATAATAAAAATACATGAAATATGAAAATGACACTAAACACATACACGCCAATGCTCCATCCTCAGTTGTCATTTATTCTTCGCTCCAACCACTTAAATCGTTCTTCCATTTGTTCTTTTTCTTCTTCTAACTCTTTCACTCTCACCTTCACCTCCGCAAGTTCCCGTTTATATTTTTCTTTGCGTTTCTTGTGTGCTTCACAATTCCATTCTGCTCTCCATTTTTTATCTTCCACCTCCTTCAGTTTCTCCCTCATTTCTGTAATAATTCTATCTCCCTCCTTTTGTATTCTCTGCTGGTATAACCACATATTATGAAAATCATGTAATCTCTCCATGTAGCTTTTCTGATAATATGGTTCCTCAACCCATTCATCAAATTCACAAGTAGGTTCGTTGGGTTGCTTGTATAACGTGTTCATACAACACCAATAGCGGCGTCCAGCGTTAGCACCTTCCCACCCACAATCCATCATGCATGGTTTTCCACAAAAGCAAATTGGTGGACGACCAGGTTGAGTCATTTGTGAAATATTTGCTTATAATAAAAAACCTTACTTACTTTTAATGAAATATTTATGGGGGAAATTTTTAGCACACAAAATAACTACAATGACCCCATTATTTATAGGCGAAACAATACACATATAGCGCCATATCTAATGACGCTATATTAGATAGCGCCATATCTAATGGCGCCATATCATGATGTTGAC